GCAATAATAATAATAATAATAATAATAGATAGATAGATAGATAGATAGATTTCAGGTGGGTTTCCTGTCTCACTTGCCCTGACCTGTAGAATGAAGCAGAAGTGAGTGCTTCTCAGAGAGTATTGTTAGCATCTGATTGGACACAAGTAACCAGTAACTATAACATCACACAAGGCTGATCAGAACTGCAGCATGGAGACTGCACTAGCACTGAAATTAAGGTGAGTTTGATTGAGTATTGAAATGGAAGGGGGGTAGTTTACGGAACACTCAGATTTAAATAATATATGTGTATTTATATATGTATGTTTCAAGAGGATCGAATGTTATAGACATACAATTTTAGATTAAATTAAAAAAGTTCAGTTTCCATATAATAATTATTTTCATTATATAATTTTTTTCCCATCATTCAGCCAATAATGGAAGCCTTTTGAAAACAGCCAATTTCAACATGTATTCCGGAGGTAGGTTGTAAATAATAAATGTCTCTGTAAACACATGTATATTCCCCTTCCACACGTTAAGCCATGAAATTCATATATAAAAGACTAATATAAATGTGGAAAAAAAATACTAGAGTATTAAGATAAGTGGTATAAGAGCAGAACATTTTTTTAGTGGAACAGATCTATTCCACTTATGGGTTCTTATGACTAAGGACAACTAAGGAGGCACCCAAAAAAACTAAAAAAAATAGTGGACCCCGAGTCACTTTTAGTGCTGATAAAAAGATTAAACAGAACAAAAAGTATCCCAATAGTTTTCTCATAACTTTCTAAAGAAGATTTAAAAATAGTTAACAAAAACCAAATTACCAAACTAATTTACTTATTATTTATTTATTATTACTTTTTTTTTTAAATAATGTTTTACACAGAGCCGGCCTTTTAATGCAGAGAAAACCACAGATTTAAACACTGTTAAGCCCGTGCAGGACCGCAATTCTGGAACATCTTGCTAGCTATGGTTGGGCACACAGCTGTGATGTTGGAATGAACAATAGCTCCAACCCCTAACATTTAGGTTTCCAAAAACTTGTGTGCATAATGAAATGCCATAAGTTGAATTTAAAACATAGAAACATAGAAACATAGAATGTGACGGCAGATACTTTGAATCCTCAACAATGCTAGTTAGTGAATTAACCAAGTCTTACCAGTATGTTGCAATAATCAGTAAGTTGACATGTATTTTATTTCTTTATAGATGTAAAGCCACTTATAGCATTTATAGAAAAGTTAAATGATGGGACATTATTGCTCATCGCATCGTATGATGATCCAGCGACAAAGTAAGTATTTAAACAAATAGTTTTTGTTACATATGTTGTTACCATGCATGTCAACTCTTAAATTGTTCAGTACAGTAGCACTGCCTTGATGCCATGATAAGCCTAGTAGGGGTACATTTATTTTTGTATATATAAAATAATTCAACAGTGAATTCCCAAGTTAATTCTAAAAATACCAAACAATGTACTGACAATTAATGCCTTGCCCATAACTTCAGCTTTTGCTTACTGTTTGAGTGTATCAAAACATAGTAAATAAAGTTTGTCCCCAAATTCTTTATTTCCTCAGATTGGATACTAAAGCCAGAGAAATATTAACAAGTTATGGAAGCAGATATGCAAAGACACTGGGTTTTCGAGATAGCTGGGTTTTTGTTGGAGGCAAAGGATTGAAAGATAAAAGTCCATATGAACAGGTAAATATAATTTTCATACAATAAGCATATATAAGAAGAACATGTCACAAATATCAATTTAATGGCATTTTGGCAGTTTACTCAGTTTCATATTCTTATACTGTTTTGTAATAAAGTACAAAAATAATCAAAATGTTTATAACCTAAATTATTATTTTTATAATATAGCCCTGTTGTGTATTATTTTGTAATGAATACATACAAGTTAATAACTCTACTCAGTGTATCTCTTAGCTTTTTCTTACAATGGTGTGAGCAGCCATCTTTAGTTAAAGGCATGGCTTATCTACGAAGAATGTTTGAAACCTTTATCTAATCATTTTTGCGAGGTCAAACACTTAGGCAAGATGGTAGGATTCCTGAACACACACTAGTTCTTGCTTATCTGTACGTCTTTGGTCAGATAAGCTATGCTTCTGACTCATAAGAATGTAATGCAGACATACCTGTAGAGCAGGGTAAACGAGGAGGTATTTAATTACATATATGCATTTCAAAATCATACAAATGGAGCATATAATTAGTGATGTCCCGAACGGTTCGCCGAACGGTTCGCCATGGACTCATCATTGAGTAAACTTTGACCCTGTACCTCACAGTCAGCAGACACATTCCAGCCAATCAGCAGCAGACCCTCCCTCCCAGACCCTCCTACCTCCTGGACAGCTCACTAAGAATGCAGCTTCACAATGAATGTAAAATGGATGCTGTCCAGGAGGTGGGAGGGTCTGGGAGGGAGGGTCTGCTGCTGATTGGCTGGAATGAATCTGCTGACTGTGAGGTACAGGGTCAAAGTTTACTCAATGATGAGTCCGTGGCAAACCATTCGCGGCGAACCGTTCGGGACATCCCTACATATAATACATGTAATCTTTTATTTTAAATAATAATAATCCAAAATTACTATTTGCCTAGGAACAGACACTCCAAACCACTTCAACGTATTGTGCCATTCCAATCATCTAATTACAGTTTCTTAGCTGCAATAGTTAGAGGGTAGAAAATATTTTATATTTTTTTACAATTTGGACATTTTAAATATGGACTCTTTGCTATCTTTTATTTAAAAGAAATTGACGTGCATTCACTGCCAATTCTCCATATATGCTTTTATTAAGTTCCAATATTGTAAGTGTTCAGTGAAATCAGATAACTTCCTTAAATAGAAACTATAGTGCCAGGAAAACAAAGTTCTTTTCCTGAAACTATAGTTTCCCAGCTATGATTTCCTTCGGTGCTGGCTTGGGTCCACCTTCTGCCTTCTGACGTTGGCGGGGGAGATCTATTGTGCATGCGCGGCAATGGCCAGGCACACATCAGGATCTCTCCATAGGAAATCATTATTCAATGCTTTCCAATGGGGTTTTTGGTGATGCTGGATGTCCCCATGCATAGTGTGAGGATGCCCAGCGTCAGGCGACCAAAAGAAACCTATCAGCCCTGAAGTTCCTTTAGTGGATGTCTGGTAGACAGTCACTAGAGGTGGAGTTAACCCTAGCAGGTAATTATTGCAGTTTCTTAAAAACTGCAATAATTACTTGCTCAGGGTTAAGGAACCTGGGACAGTGCACACAGACCACTTCAATGAGATGAAGTGGTCTGGGTGCCTTTATTTTTTTTCAATTAGGAGTCACATGCAGAGCAAAGTATGTAATTCTAGATATTTCTATCACATTAAATAAACCCATTGCCCCACTAACCTTATCATTTACTCCACAGTATCTCAAGAATGAAAAAGAAAAAAACAAGTACGATGGTTGGCCAGAGGTTTTGGAAATGGAAGGCTGTATTCCCCAGAAGATGTCATGAAGGCAAAACTGAGATGCAGTGTCCAAAAGACACTTAAATTATATTGTGACTGTTATCTATGGGAATAACGTTACCTGCAATCACTTTGTTTTATGTTTGTGAATCAATTCAGGACTGTCAGAAATATCCATTGCTTGGGCAGAAATTGTTTATTTGTTTATGTACATATTTATATTTAAGAATAGTGAAACTGTTATAAATGTCTATGGTAGATTTTTACTGTTTCATGGCTGGAAATAAAAATGTAGATCATATATTGAATTGAATCTCAAAGTATTTAAGGTGGTAATGTCCTCCTTAAGCGCTTTAATCTGAAAAATAAAAATCCATGAGTGCAATACCATTTATAAAGAGAGAGAGAGAGATGGTAAATGTGAAAATATGCCATTGAAGATACCAGATTTTTATGGATAGATCCATATTCCAGAGGTGGCACATGATTCTCCATGTATATTTTATATTACATTATGTTTTAAAACTTGGTTGCACAGCAGCTGGGATACCAACGAATGTTCTGTACGATTCCAACTGTTGTAGAACATAACATTTAGACCCACGCTGGCCAGACATTATACACACAGATGGAAAAACACAGAAACTTAGAGAATACTCACAGACACTACCCAGGCTGCACGAGCTTGATAAGAGCCGCAATCCTTAACAGCGGACACTATTTGTGGCTGTTATCATAAATTCTGTCTCCCTCCCCTCTTTGATATGATGGAGAGGTGCTGGTAAGAATGATCATGGTGTGTATCCCAGAAACAGTGAACTCAAAACTCCATTACAAAATATAATTGTGATTATAACAAGAGTTGCAGAGTTTTTTTCCAAATAAACTATTTTGGCTCAATATTTGTAGTTTAGTTTTCAATGCACAAAAAAACATTTTTATGAATGAACCCTATAGTTTTATAGTGTCTTCACTTCCTGTCCAATATTCTGGCATACAAGCGACATGATAATGGCAGAATTAATGCCAGCAGAAACTAATTGGAGCTGCTAGTTAGGAGTGTGATGTCCATCATTCTTTTACAGCGCAGGACTTGGATGTTCTGGTGCTACAGCGACAGGGTTATTTACCACGTGAAATTGTCATAAATTCAAAGTGAATTTCAAATTCTTTACAAAAATAGCAGATCTGGGACTTTAGCCAACTTGGAGAATGTATCCAATTTAGCTATTCTAAATTCACTTTAGTTAATAACCCTAGATCGAAAAACCCTGAGATATGTAGTGTCAATAAAGCACATATATGAATTGTTTGCCCAATGTGATGTCCCACAGTTCAGTATGAGATCTGAAAACATTATCTGCCCTTTAAAATAATAGGTTCACAACTAGGATCAATACATTGCAGTAACTTGAATGCATGTTTTATAGTTTTATTAAAGTTAATCACAAGGATTTTTAATTGTAAGGGCCCTATGTTTTATTTATTTTTTTATTTTTTTTATAATTCTTTATTTTTGATGTGCATACAATGTTTAAGACAGTGGCATGAAAAACAGCCCTTTTTTAAAGTTTTATAAACAAGCTAGGCTGGTCTGTCTATTTCAACAACATTAGTGTAGGAAACATTTGTCAGGACTAGATAGACATGAGCATAAGATGTATTGATAGGTTGAGTAGGGTAAAGCATAGGAAATTGCCAGTATAGCATAAGCTATTTATAGAGAAGAATATGATTACTTTATGACATGCTATAGAAGTGGTCGTAGGGTGGAACCACTGTTAAATTAAAAGATAAACACAAAAAAACAAGAATAATATCAAGAAAGGCAGGTATACATCTGCTCTTGGTTGAGGAGATGGTGCTGCATGTATTAGGCTTGTAGCCAGAATCAATCGATTCCCATAAGTGACAGAGGTAGAGTTCCTGTAAGGGGGTCTGGCAGTATGGCTGCAGAGCGGTTCTCATGTATTGTGACCTTGCAGGCCGACCACACTTTTCCCCAAGCTTAGACACTCACGGTGACCAAGATGGGGGTTGTATTCTCTAGGTATCAGTAATCTAGTGAGTGTGTAAAATATGTCTCAACTTTTCCTCTGGCATACATCTGGCAAAAATTTGTGGTTGGTATGTATGTGGCAGCAATATAACATAAAACATAAGTTAACATAACTAGATACAGAGGTAACATAAATTGCTGACATTATATGTCAATATTAAAGAGGCTGTCATATGTCTTAAAAAAGGGGGGGGGAACGTATGGCCAGCGGGCCGTATTAGGCCTGCAAAATAATTTGTTATGGCCCTCCCAGGGCTGGCGCTACCATAAAGCAGCACAGGCGGCTGCCTTAGGGCACAACATCCCACTGACCGGCTTTGGCAAGAGGGGAGCGCACATTTAACACTCCCCTCCAGCCAGTTACTCCTCTGTAGTGTGACTGAGTTGCAGATTAGGATAGAGGAGCTTCTATAACCTCTACCCCGGTCTCACAGGAAGTGTGTGCAGGGAGCGCCAAACTTCTCACTGTCACACACAAGCTCACTCACTAGCAATCACACACACACAATCACTGTCATGGCTAAAGCTTACCTGGCACTGGTAGGTGACTTTTTCATTCTCTGGCCTCTTTCCAGAGAGGTCAACAAACCTGCCTGTGGGGGCAGAACTTACTCGCAGGAGGCAGGGTTTGTGTTCGGGAGGTGGTGCTTAAGTGCAGGGGTGGGCAGGCGGTGCAGAATTACTTAGCATTGTGTAGGGAGACTGACAGGTCTCCCTCCGGCTGCCAGCAACCTAATTGCGGCCACACCAGCCCCCAGCATCTCCCTCCTTAATCCCCTCAGACTGACACAGGCTAGCACAGTCCGAGGGGAAAATCATTTAAATGAAATAAGCCTAATTTAGGGCTGCCTGATCGGCCCCAGGTGCCACGGCCCCCCAGGAAATTTCCCAGTATCCCAGTGGGCCAGTCCGGCCCTGATTGGGGAAGAGCTTGGGGGGAATGAATGAGATACATTGGGTGAGGGCTTGGTGAATGAGACACATTAGGGGGCAGGGGGAATGAGAAACATGAGGGTGCTGGGGGAAAAGACACATTGGAGGGGCCACATAGTGTGGGCTGGGTGATGAGACACATGTGGTTGGCTGGAGGAATGAAACATATGGGATGGGCTGGGGGAATGAGAGACATGGGGACTGGGTGAATGAGACACATGGGGGGGAGGAATAATGAGACACATTAAGTGGACTGGGGGAGGAGCAGTGGCGGATCCAGAAGCTAATCTCGGGAAGGGCACTGCCAGATCATTTAAAAAAAAAAAACAATCCAGGCACAATAATTACTACAGCTCTCTGTAGTGGTTTTGGTGTCAGGAGTGCTGTGGCACCATCCCAGAGTAAGTAGTCAAACCGTTTAAAAAACAGTTTGATAACTTATGCGGGATCTGCCGGGAAAGGGGCAGTAGCGTGTATGTATGTGAGGGGTGCATTGTGTGTGAGGGTCGCAGTATGTGTATGGGGGGGCAGTGTGTGTGCATGGGGGCTGTGTGAGAGGGGTGCAGTGTATGTACGGGGTAGAAATGTGTATAAAGGGGCACTGTGTTTTTGTGTGAGGGTTGCTGTGTGTGCATGGGGGCAGTGTTTGTATTTGGGCAGCTATGTGTGTATTTGGGGGCAGTGTGTGTAAGGGAGCAGTGTGTGTAAGGGAGCAGTGTGTGTAAGAGGGGGCTGTGTGTGTAAGGGAGCAGTGTGTGTAAGAGGGGGCTGTGTGTAGGGGGTTATAGTTTGTGTGAGGCGATAGGGGGGCAGATTAAAGATATATTTGTTAAATTATTAAATAATTACTCAAATATAGTTCATGTCCCCCCTCCCTTCTTACCTTTGCTGAGGGAGGAGGAGACATTGCTTTCTTTCATTGCTTTGATGGTTCTGGTGGTGAGAGTGAACTCTAGCCTGCTTACTCCCCTCTGCTGACAGAGTTAAAACCCCTAATTTACTTAGCTGAATCCATCTGAATCGACCTAATGTGCATGGGGTTTTAGCGGACGCTGGATGTCCTCACTAAAAGTCGTCTAACGACCATGACCTGGTAGACAGCCACTAGAGGTGGAGTTAACCCTGCAAGGTGATTATTGTAGCTTCTCAATACCATTGCAGAGTTAAGGGGACATGGGGCAATGCACCCATGCCACTTCAATAAACTGAAATAGTCTGGATATATAAGTGAATGTTTCTGTCAGTTACAAAACATGTTGCTTTTACAGCCTTGTTACCATTTATGCAGTTACATGTTAAAACCGTGCTTGAAAAAGTGAATACATAACATTATAGATTTTATCCATGGAATATATGAGTGTGTGTGTATATACCTATATGAAGGTATATATTAAAACAAGAGGGCTGCACTCACCTGAACATGCATACATTATAAGGGGTGCTGCTGGGGCCAATTCAAACAACATACACGATTCAACTCACTCACTTATTCACTAAACAGCAACTTCAAAGCTCACGGAATGTAATCGTTTTTTTGCCCTGCAGAGAGTCCCAAGAGGAAGAATTTCCCTAGTTAGTGGGTTAATCTCTTTATGTTGCGGCAGGCTTATGCAATGTGTGATCATATACTGTATCTAAACCCCCATTATTTTTTGCCTAGGTGTGGTGTTTTAAAATAAAACTATTACGTTCTGTGAGCTTTGAAATAGCTGTTTAGTGAATGAGTGAGTGAGCTGGATCTTGTTTACTCTATATATACTCCCACTTTTGATTATCCGACCATTCAGGCCAGTGAATGACAACTGTGGCAAAGAGGTCTTCTTCTACACTTTAGCTGGTCTCCAGAGCTTGCAATGATCCCAATCAAGAACACCCATAGCTATGTGAGTATGGACCGGGAAATAAGAACAAGCTGCAATGATCTGGACCTTTCTGAGCCTTTAGATTAGTTCTATGTGAAACCACAAAACCTTCATCCCTCTCAGATAAAGTTTACACTAACAAATAGTTTATCGTTGTATTGCTGTAATTTCCCTATACTTTATTTACAATTAATCTATACAATTATTGTGTCCTTCCATTTTCCTTTCCTTTATTTATTTTTTATTTAGGTATATGGTATTGTTTGTTTCTATCACTAGATGGCACTATTGGATTAGTGATGAGAACTGTATTCCCAGAATTCTTCACATCATTACATACCCTGTATATTTTGCAAATGTGCATTTATGAGGTTTGGAAAAAGAAATTAAATATATAAATACACATCTCTTCATCCTGGAATAGTCTCCATCATTGCTCCTAATCTATCATTTTTAGAAATTCTGCCCTTTTCTGCCATTGAACCCAGGCCTCAATTTAATAAGCTTTCCAAATGATTTAATACTAGTGGGGAAAAAATTGTTTTCATTTTAAATTTTTTATTTATCTACATAAATCAGTTTTAACAGTATATGGAAACTTTGTAGATTCATTTAAAAACTCACAAGGAAAGGTTAAAGGATCTTAAAATGTATAGCTTGGAGGAAAGACAAGACAGGGGGGATATGATAGAAACATTTAAATACATAAAGGGAATAAAAACAGTAAAGGAGGAGACTATATTTAAAAGAAGAAAAACTACCACAACAAGAGGATATATTCTTATATTAGAGGGGCAAAGGTTAAAAAACTAATATCAGGAAGTATTACTTTACTGAGAGGGTAGTGGATGCATGGAATAGCCTTCCGGCTGAAGTGGTAGAGGTTAACACAGTAAAGGAGTTTAAGCGTGCGTGGGATAAGGCTATCCTAACTATAAGATAAGGTATTTAGAAAATTGGGAAGACTAGATGGGCCGAATGGTTCTTACCTGCCGTCACATTCTATGTTTCCATGCTTCCTAACAGTATTGAATCATTTGGATAGCTTTTCTAAAAATAATAATAAAATCATAGTTAGAAGAGGAGAAGAAACTGAAACAACATGTCTGTTCTTTCTCATTTGCATTTTGTGCCCAGCTGTGCCTAGACTGAACTGGAGTGTGATGTCACTTGCCAAAGGAGCATGACCTAAAAAAAAAAAGAAAGGGTAGCAGAAATTCTAGGTGATTTTTAACATTTTAGAAAATATGAGGTTTATTCATTAATTTTATTGCAGTGCATTGAAATCCAAACTGTAATATTTCAGCAAACATAGCTGTACTAAATGTTGCCATTCCGTTTTTAATTTGCTTTAGTTAATAAACCCATATGTTTCATATACATTCAAGGAAAAGAGGCAAACGGAAGTGGTGGAGTCTAGCACCCTGTCATCTTAAAAGATGATGTGTGTAGTGTGCCATGGCAACTCACTGGTACTTTTTGGGCGACAAACATCTACTAGCTGTTAGTATTACCATTGCATTACATCTAATTTTTACTGCAAGTATGATCACAAGCCCAGAGTTTATCATATAAAATTAGATTTCAGTTTATAACAATGAATATAATTGTATCATTTTATATATATATATATATATATATATATATATATATATATATATATATATATATATGTGTGTGTGTGTGTGTGTGTCAATCACCTTCACTAACGTTTTTCTGGGTGAGATTCTATTTATAGCTTAATGCGGGTCAACTATAACCTTTCACTACTGGGATGGATAGCGCAATCACTATTTAAACATTACTGACTAATCTCGATTTTATTGTGTTCTCTGTATTTTGCTTTACTGTAAACATATCTTGACACTTCAGAAGTGAAGCCTATATCAATATTATTCTGCAACAGATGTAACATTGTGGATAGTTACATTGTATAGGAATTTGTTACTATTTAGATTTTTTAAGCAAGTATTTACCAGTAGCTATATTTTTTCCTCTGTTGCTATGTACATGAATAGGTTAGATTGGCTATATTTGCACACATGATTTTGACCGTGAACTGTAGACTTTATTGTCACACAGTTTTAATTTTATACTGCATAAAAGCTAAGTTTTATATTTATTCTTCTTCCTTTGATAAAATTAACAGTTGTTTGTGTCGATTGCACTCCTTAGGAGTTACTTCCATGTTTAATGATACATTTTCGAAAGATGCAAATGCTTAGCTCCTTTTCTGTCCTTTTCTTGCTTTTAAAGAATTGAGAAAGAGCAGTATAAAAAGGATAGCAATGTATAGCAAACTAGCAGAAAGCATGGTACTGTATACTTCCAAGTCTACAAATCATTCCTACCATAAATCCTAAACTGGTAATAAAATAGGCAACTTTCCAAGTTCCTCAACCACCATGTGACAGAATTTCAGTAACAAATTACTCGCATAAAGCACGAACATGCAATACGATGGAATGGAGAATAGCCTGTTTTTTGTTTGTTTGTCTATGTCTGCGATTGAGGGAGTGAGACCAGCAGTAGATGTGTTTTACCCTTGCGTTGCCTGTGTTGGAATGGACGATAGCTTGAGTCTTTAATAATAGTTTGTGACTAGGTTTAGCTTACTGTTCTATCTCCCTAACTAGCGCTATATCCATTGTCAGTGCCACACACAAGATTTGAGTGGAAGATAGTCTGCTTCACTCATCCTAGTGTAGGTTACTGATGGTTACTTTAGTGATGTGTCTACTCTTAGCCTTTGCCACTTAACACGAACTTGGAATAAATAGTTTACAGTTTGGCATTTTTTGTTAAGAGTTTATAGAAAGAAAATCCTTTAGTATTCTCCGAGTGTGCTCTGTCCAGTTTTAGTTGTGCAAGTGTGCAAGCAGTGACTGAGTGCCGTTTGTAGTGTAGTGTTTCTCAAAGTCAAACACAGTAATGTTATACGGTAGTAGTAAATTCACCAAGCACAAATTCATTTTGCAACACCTGTTTTTGCTGAATAAAGTTGTGTTTGTTTTGTACAATACACACTAATTTATATCCTAAACTGTAATAAGAAAAACAAACAAGTCAATGTTGTGTCCTAATCCCAAGAACAAAATTATGAGATGGGAAGGGGTCATGTTCTCCAATTCCCTATTAGCAGTAGTGCTATTGTCTCTGAAAGTCTAAACATATTTTGCAAAAATCTGCACACCAGCAAGCCATAAGACTTGCTTTTCCCACAGGAATCACAAATTTGCAGTGATGTTACTACTGCAAAGGATTCAAGGTGGGCATATGCAAATTAGTTCAACAAAGACACATTTTTGCCTCATTCCATTTTAAACATGGATTCCTTTGAGTCTGTGTTTGCTGTATACAACAGCTTTGAAATGCAACTTAGGAAAAGATGCAAAGCCAGTGAACCACTCATGGACAGCTGTTTCATTGTGAATGAGGTTGGTTACTGGCTGGCTAGTAAGGCTTGGCTGAACTTACAAAGCAAAAAACAGGTATGGTGGGGAAAAATTGTGACTGAAAACCTCTTCCATCCGAGGTTTGTGGATAGTTAATACAATGGTAAACAAAAATCTGTATACCAGTCAAGCCATAAGACTTTTCCCTGCTGAGGCTCCCCCTTTAGTAAAATTTTTGGTAAAATCACTTTTTTTTTTAAACATAAAATTACTCATGCTCTCACTTTTCATTAACACAAGATAGCAAATGGAAAAATATTACAATCACACATTATAAATAAAAGTTATCTCGCTTATTTTTATTTGTATCTGGATATAGCAACTCAGAAATGGCATTGAAAAAATGGCTGATATTGTGTAGACATGACTGCTCAAATTTTTTTTACTGAAATTCTTCAGTTAAAGGACCACTATAGTGCCAGGAAAACATACTCTTTTTCCTGGCACTATAGTGCCCTGAGGGTGCCCCCACCAGCCGGGCTCTAGGGTGAGGAAGGGGTTAAACTTACCTCTTTCTCCAGCGCCGGGCGGTGAGCTCTCATCCTCCTCTCCGCCTCCTCTCCTCCGCTTTGGCTGAATGCGCATGCGCGGCAAGAGTCGCGCGCGCATTCAGCCAGTCTCTTAGGAAAGCATTCACAATGCTTTCCTATGGACGCTGGCGTCTTTTCACTGTGAAAATCACAGTGAGAAGCGCGGAAGCGCCTCTAGCGGCTGTCAATGAGACAGCCACTAGAGGCTGGATTAACCCTAATATAAACATAGCAGTTTCTCTGAAACTGCTATGTTTATAGAAAAAAGGGTTAAACCTAGCTGGACCAGGCACCCAGACCACTTCATTAAGCTGAAGTGGTCTGGGTGCCTATAGTGGTCCTTTAACAAAATTCTGACAAGCCAAACTGTGGTTACAGACTTATTCTGTTGTCCTATAATTGTTTTTTGTTTTGTTTTTCAACCCATACATAGAGATTTGAATTCGATGAATAAATGTTTATGCTAAGTCTAGCAGTGATTCAGTAAGTTTAGGACTTTTAGAAGTATATACTCAATCTCCTGGATAAGATGCTAAAGACTGTCAATAAATCACAAGTATACTTTTCTCCAATGACCAAGTTGACCTTCATTGATCAAAGAATTTTGAAGGCAAATGCTTGTGTAGTCACTGAATATCTTTCTGGTAGAGCCATACATGTGACAATTAGAGAGACACATTCCACTTCATCAAACCTTCAAAATCACCCAACCCAGGAAGCATAGTAAAAATGTTACATCAATAGATGCTGGCTCCCTCTTTGCTTTTTTGCATGCGCAGTGTTATTTTCGTCCTAATTGAAAACTAATTATTTTTACCGAATTTAGTTTGAAAAAAAAGTTTGAGGTCCTGCATGAAACTTCAGAAAAGACGAATTCTATGCAGTCCACATTCAGTAGCATGCTGCAGCCATGGGTCCCTGATAATAATCTTATTGAAATAATCAAGGTATTACTTTTTTCAATTATGTTTTTTTGGGGGGAGGGTGGTTAGGGGCACTTGACAACTACCTGCCTACGCGGCCCTCTTGGTCGACATTTTTGTATATACCTTAGTTATGTTGGTTATTTTCCTCCTGGCTTAAATTACCCTGAAAGTAGCAATTGCCGACTCTGTAACTAACTTTAGAATAGGATATGATACACAATTACAGCTCAGACTTGCACACTTTAATGGTTTCTATAAAATGTATTCTGCTGCGGTCATGAGGCTATATGCTAAACTTCAAAAGTTTAGAGGAATAATAAATTTCTCAAATCGATTATCACAATGTTGAGGATGTTTGCTCACCCCATAGCTCCC